TCGAGGTCGATCACCGTGCTCGAGCTCTTCCGCGCCGCCGACTCCACATACCACAGCCTCCTTTCAGTCATGTCGAAGCCCCTCTTCCTCATCGCCGCCGTCGCGGGGCTCATGATGCTCCTGTCGCCCCCCCCGCCGCACCAGTGCGCGCCCCGCGTCTCATACAAAAGCCCCCCGGCATGGTGGTGTCCGAGCCCCCGCCCCCCCCGCAGGATCTCCTACCCGCACGACGCGACGTACCTGCGCGCCAAGGCCGACGTGCACGAGTTCTGCGAGGCCGACTTCGCGGCCCTCTGCGGCCCCGAGCAGCTCGAGGCCATGAAGCCGCCGCGCCGCCTCACGACCGTCCTCATGGACGTGTCCGTCGTCGACGAGACGGCCGGCGACCACGCCCCGGGCCCCGAGGCCGCGCGCCTCGGCCTCGGCGGCCCCAAGGAGGAGGGCTGCCTCCGCGCCAACTACGAGGCCCTGTCCAAGCCCTGCGCGGCGTCGATCGCGCTCCTCGACGAGGCCGCGGCCGAGCTCCCGCGGAAGCCCCGCGGCCCCTGCCCCGTCATGGTCGGCATGGCGCTCCTGGGCCTCCTCGTCTTCCTGGGCATCGTGCGCAAGGTCCGCGCGAAGAAGCGCCTCGTGAAGAAGATCCTCGACGCGATCCGTTCGGACGCGGACTTGAAGGCCTTGGTCGAGGCCAAGGCCGAGGCCGCGCTCCCGGAGCCCTGCACGTGCGGCGGCAGGAAGTGCCTCAAGGCCGCCCTCTGCGCGGCCCTCGTCGCCGTCGTCCTCTCGTTCCTCGTCGGGCCCGCGACGGTCTTCTTCTCCGCCGCGTTCGCCGCCGTCGTCTCCAAGGTCGTCCGCTCGTGCGCCACGTGCTGCCGCGCGGCCAAGGTCGCCGACGCGCCGCCGGACTACGAGGCCGTCGTCGAGGCGCCCGACGCCGTCGCCGTCGACCCGGCGGCCGCCAAGGTCGCCGCGGACGCCGCGCTCAAGGACGCGTCCGCGCCCCCGGCGGAGAAGCCCCTCGAGCAGCCCCTCCTCTGAGCGCGCTGATCCCGCGCGCCCCCACGAAGCCCCCGCGCGCATCCGCTTTTTGTAACATAGACCGCCTCAGGACGGGTTGGCGTCCTGCTTCTCGGGAGGCAGCGCGGCGGCCGCGGCGCGCCAGGGGCTTCGCCGCGGCGGCGCGGCGGCCTCGCGGGCCGCGGCGAAGGCCCGGGCCGCGAGGTCCGCGACGGCCGGCGACGCGCCGGCGGCCCACTCGGGGCACGCGGGCGCGCCGCCGGGGGGGGGCGCGGGCGCGGCCGCGGGCGCGCCGCCGGTGGGCGCCGGCGCGGCGCAGGACCTGCATCGGGAGGCCGACGACATGTTCTGGTGCTTGCACGCCCAGCAGAACCAGTGTCCCGAGCCCTCCTCGGGCGCGGGGACGTGGCCGCGGAAGAAGCCGTCGGTGCGCGGGGGCGGCGGCGCGTATCGACACGGGAACGGCAACTGACCCGCGGCCGCGGGTGGCGGCGCGGGCGCGGGCGCGAGGAATTGGCCGCCGAAGAAGACGTCGGTGCGCGGGGGCGGCGGCGCGTACCGACGCGGGAACGGCGACGGACCCGCGGCCGCGGGCGGCGGCGCGGGCGCGGGCGCGGGTTCTCGACGGAGGCGCCGGCCGTCGAAGGAGACGATGTCCTGGTCCCGCGGCGGCACACCCGAGAAATCGACCGCCGCCGCGTAGACGTGGGGCGGCGGCGGCGGCGCGCGCCGGCTCGGGAACGGCGACGAACCCGGGGCCCCGGGCGGCGGCGGGTACCGCGGGTCGCAGTAAAAGGGCTCCGGGAAGCCCGCCGGCGGCGGCGGCGCGTGCGGACGCGGGGCGTGGTACGCCGGCGCGTGTTGCTGGCGGACCGGGGGCCGCGGCGCGTGAGACGGCGGGAACTGGAGGTCCGCGCGCGCCGGGGGCGGCGGCGAGTATCGACACGGGAACGGCAACGAACCCGCGGCGGCGGGCGGCGACGCGAAGGCCGGGGGCGCGCGCGCCGGCGACGCGAAGGCCGGGCGCGCGCGCGCCGGCGGCGCGACGGCCGGGCGCGGCGGCGGCGGCGCGGGCGCCGCCGCGCGCGGTGGCACCGGCGCGGGCGCGTCCGCCGCGGCGACGCCCGCGGCGGCCTCGCGGGGGACGTCCCGCGCCGCCGGCGCGGGGGCCGCGGCCTTGTCCCGCAACGCCCTGAGGCCGAGGACCGCGGCCGTCTCCCGCACGGCCTTGTCCCGCGTGGCCTGCTTGGCCTCGAGGGCGGCGACCTTCGCTTCGGCCACGGCCGCGGCGTCGGATTTGGCCGCGAGGGCGTCGGACTTGGCCGCGAGGGCGTCGGATTTGGCCGCGAGCTCGGCCTTCAGGTCCGCCTCGGCCGCGGCCGCGGCGTCGGACTTGGCCGCGAGCTCGGCCTTCAGCTCCGCCTCGGCCGCGGCCGCGGCGTCGGATTTGGCCGCGAGCTCGGCCTTCAGGGCCGCGATCTCGGCGGCGGCGGCGGCCTCGGCCTCGGCCTTGGCCGCGAGCGCGGCGCGCAGGTCCGCCGTCTCCTTCTCCGCTTTCGTGTTGAAGACGCTCCACGTCTCGGACGCGGCGCAGATCTCCAGGTCCGGCTCGGCGCCCGTCGCGGTCTCCGCGGGCGCCGGCGGCGCGTCCTCCGCGGCCGGAGCGGCGGGCTCCTCCTCGTCCGCGACTTCCGGCTCCGGCGCCGGCGGCGCGTCCTCCGCGGCCGGCGACGGCGGCGGCGAGGCTGCCCGCGGCGCCGGCGCCTCGGTGGCCTTGCGCGCCTCGGCCTTGGCCTTGGCCCTGTCCCGCTCCTGCTTCTCCGCGTGGGCCGCCTTCAGCTTGGCCTTGAGGCGCTTGAGCTTGTCCACGGTCTTGGCGTCCGTGGACGGGTCGCGCGTGGCCTCCTCGATGAGGCCCGCGAGGTCCGCGAGGAGCGCGCGGTCGGCGACGATCGCCTCGACCTGTTCCTTGAAGATGTTCAGGAGCGCGACGGCCGCGACGCGCGGGTTCTTCTTCGCGCCGACCGTGGACGTCCGCAGCGCCGCGACGAGGCCCGCGGCGTCCTCGGGGACGGGCGCGGCCTCGGGCGGCGGCGGCCGCGGCGCGGCCGCGGCCGCCGGCGCGGGCGCGCGCGGGCCGCCCTCGCGCAGGAGGAGCGCGCGCCGGGCTCCGTACGGCGTCTTCGACAGTTTCTGGAACCGCGTCTGGAACTTCGAGGGCCCGCCGGCCAGGGCGCCCAGCGCGCGCGCGGCGTCGTTCCGCGTGCGCCAGACGTGGCCGTCGCCGTCGACGAACTTGATCGGCTCCGACGCGATGTCCGTGAGGACGACGCTCCAGCCCGCGAATCGCGCCTTCGGGCACCTGTGTGGAAATCAACCAGTGAGCTGGGACGTCCCGACCAAACTTTGAAATTCGGTCAAATCGAAGTCGATTCGGCTGATTTTTGAACGGATCGATTGCTCTCAGCGAGTTCTCGAAGCACAGCCGAAGAGTCCGGCGCAATTCGTTCAATTACGCGCACATTGAAGTCGGGTTGAAGATTTGATTTCCACACATTCGGGCACGGCGCGCCGCCGTGCGCGAACTCGTGGACCCGGTCGAAGAACTCGAGCGACGCGGCGCGCGCGCCCGCGGCGTCGTCCGAGCCGAGGAAGGCGGGCAGCCTCTGGAGCCGGCGCGGCAGCGCGGCGCGCGGGTTCGCGCGCGGCGCGGCGCCTTCGTCCCCGGCGGGCGCCGCGGCCTTGCGCTTGCTCCCGGACAGGCGCGGCGCGTCGTCGTCCGAGGACGTGCAGAGGTCGATGGGCGCGGGCGACGGCCGGGGCCGCGCGCGCGGCGCCCGCCGCGGCGCGGCGGCGCCCTTGCGGACGTCGGCGCGGCCGCCCGCGGCCCGGCCTGGGCAGGACAAGAGTGCGAAATTCCCAACTTCAAAGGCTCCTCTCTCTGCCATTTTCCACTCGTTTCGGCTGATTTTTGGACGAGCGATCATCTCTCGGAACGGTCTCGAAGCGTGGATGCTTTTTCCAGAACGCGCGCGCGCGAAACACTCAACTTGAAGCGACGTTGAATCACCCTTGTCCTGCCCTGGGCCCGGCCGGCGCGCGCCTCGAGCGGCGGCGACGCGGCGTTCTTGCGCTTGCGCCCGGACGGGCCCGCCGCCGCGGCCGGCCGCCGCGCGCCGCCGGACGACGAGGAGACGTCCTCCGAGGAGACGTCCTCCGCGTCCCCGTCCGGGGACGAGGAGGCGTCCTCGTCGTCCTCGTCGTCGTCGTCCTCGTCCGAGGAGGGCGGCGGCGCGGGCCGGCGCGGCGGCGGGCGCGGTGTCGCGCCGCGGCCCGCCTCCCGGTGGACGCAGCCGTCGCGGTCCGCCCAGGGCTTGGCGACCTCCTCGCGCGCGTCCGCGACGGCTCTCGGGAACGCGGCGGCGTAACGTCGCGGCTTGAACGCCGCCGCGCGGCCGGCGTAGCCCCGGCGCAGGCCCTCGTCCCAGGCGACGACGTTCTTCGGCGGCGCGAAGGTGAAGCGCTCCGACGCCCCCATGCCGTAGTAGACGCAGCAGTGGCGCGCGCCGAGGTGCGCCATCGCCATGTCGCGCATCGGGCCGGACGTCCACCGCGGGTCGAAGACGATGGACGGCCAGTGCTTGAAGCCCGGCGACGCGACCCAGCAGACCTCGCCGAAGAGGCCCGTCCAGTCGGCGCCGAGCGCGTCGACGCGCGCGTCGTCGCCGTCCCGGTCGTCGTCTTCCGAGCCGGACTCGGCGCCGCTGGAGGCCGCGCCGCCGGACTCCGCGCCGGAGTCCGAGCTCGACGACATGGCCGCGCCGCCGCCGCCGCCGCGCGCGCCGCCCCCGCCCCGGATTGCCGCGGGGGCCGTGCGCACGAGGGCTGCCAAGGGACGCACAGGTGCAGCACGATTGCAGGGGCAGCTCACCCTAAAGCTCTCTATTCGTGCTGTTTCGTTCGATACTTGGCGCAGAAAGTTGCATTCAGCTTTGGCTCGAGGATCCCTTGACGTTGAGCCATTCTCGTATGTGCGCCCCGCGGCGACGCGCGGCCGCTCCTGCCTGCACCATGCTGCTGCGCGTCGCAGCGCTCGCCTCCCTCGTCGCCGGCACCGCAGCGCTCCAACCGACGCTTTGTGTGTGGCAGCGCTGCGCCGCGGACGCCGCCGGCGGCTGCGTCGGCGGCCTCGCCAAGGCCCTCGCCGTCTACCCGCTGGACCGCGCCGCGACGCGCCTCGAGGTGCGCACGCGGCACAACGCCACGGCGCCGCGCGGGCCGCGCCTCCGCGAGCTCTACCGCGGCTGCGGCGTCGTCGCGCTCTTCGCCGCGCCGTACGCGCTCGCGTTCCACGCGCCCTACGTGCTCGCGGAGCGCCACCTCCAACGCCGCGGCGTCGACGCGGCGCTCGCGGCGGCGCTCGCGGGCCTCGCGGGCGCCGTCGCCGCGGCGCCCGTGGGCGTGCCCGCGGAGTGCTGCAAGCGCCGCGTGCAGCTCGGCGCGGGCCGCGGCGCGGCGCTCCGAGGCGGCTTCTCGCTCTTCGACGGCTTCGCGGCGACGCTCGCGCGGAACGTGCCCTACAACGCCGCGTCCTTCGGGTTCTTCGCGCTCCTCCGCGCGCGCGGCTGGCCCCGGGGGCTCGCGGGCGTCGGCGCGGGCGTCGCGACGGCCGTGGCGACGCACCCGATCGACGTCGTCGACGCGCGGCAGCAGACGGCGCGGCTCTCCGCCGCCCAGCCGCCGCCGCCGCCGCTGCTGTCGCGCGCGACGGCGCGGGGCCTGGCGAGGGACCCCGGCGCGCTCCTGCGGGGCCTCGCGCCGCGCGTGCTGTCCATCGCGCCGTCGACGTACCTCTTCTTCGCCGTCTTCGGGCCCGTGTCCCAGGCCGTCTTACGACTCTTCTCGTAGTTTAGGCGGCGTCCTCCGGCGGCGGCCCGTCGCCGCCGAGGAGGTACTGGCTCAGGCTGTCGCCGCGGCGGTGCGACCGGCCCTTGCGCGTCTCGGTGACGGGCGGCGCCTCGGGGAAGGTCACGAGGAGGTCCGCGTTGGACACGCGGAGCGTCCGCGTTTCGGCGCCGTCGACCGCGGCCTGGACGCCGCGCGCCCAGGCGACCGCGGCGGCCGCGTCGTCGGTGCCGAAGAACCGCGGCGCCGCGCCCGCGCCGAGGAAGTCGGCCATGTAGCGCGCGAAGGCCCTGTCCGCGTCCGGCGCGCCGGACCCGACCGCCACGGCCCAGTCGCTCGGCGCGGCCTCGACGGCCATCGCGCGCCGCTCGAGGACGGCGACGAGCCGGTCGACGTCGACGTGCTGCTTCTCGACGATCCGCAGGTGGTCGTGGTAGGCGGCGAAGGCGGCGTCGTCGAAGGCGCCGAGGGGCGGCGCGAACCTGTCGCGCCGGCGAAGGTGATGGGCAGGTACGCGACGGCGCCCGGTCGCCCTAAACGGCAGAGCGCGCCCGCGAGCGTCTCGGGAAATACCAAATCCGCGAAGGCGTTGGCGACGACGAGGTCGAAGGCCGGCGACGCGTCGAAGTCCAGCGCGTCGGCCTCGACGAGCGTCACGTCGAAGTCGACGCCGCGGACGGTGACCGCGCCCGACCGGAGGTTCACGTTGCGGCTCAGCGGCGGCGGCGGCGGCGCGGGCCTCTCGACGAAGCCCGCGAGCCCCGCCGCGCCCGCTAACAGGAGGGCGCCGTCGCCGTCGACGGCGACGTACTCCGCGGAAACGACGCCCGCGGCGGCGCACGCGGCCGCGACGGCGTCGAGCATCGAGAGGCAGCCCGCGCCGACGTCGACGACGCGGAGCGCCGCGCCGCCGTCCGCCGCGCGCGCGGCGAGGCCCGCGACGCGCGCCGCCAGGGCCGCGGCCAGCGCCCCGCTGCGCGACCGCGCGTCGACGGGCGCCTTGGCCGCGAGGTACGCCGCGCGCGCGGCCGGCGTCGCCGCGCGGCGTCCGGACACGCAGCCGAGGTGCGCGAGCGCGCAGCGCCGCAGGTCGCCGCCGACGACCTCGAGCGCGCGCGCCGCGCCGCAGGCGTCGCGCCTCTCGCGCCGCGACGACGCGTAGGACGCGCCGGCGTCGACGGGTGCGGGCCACTCGTGGGACGCCCAGGCGCAGGGCAGCGCGTCGAGGGACCAGGCGGACCCGTGGCTGATGCCGTCGCGCTGCGACGCGTGCGTCTCGGCGGCGCGCACGTCGTCGGCGTCGATGTAGAGTTTCGCAGTCGGCGTCATCGCGCTCGCGTCCATGCTCTCCGGGGCGCTCTCCGGCGAGTCGAGGCCACCGCCACCAACGCCGCCGTCCTGCTGCAAACGCGCCCACCGACCGCCACCAACGCCGCCGTCCGGCGCTGCTGCAAACGCGCCCACCGGCCGCCACCAACGCCGCCGTCCAGCGCCCACCGACCCGCGACCGACGCGCGCGCCGTAGTCATGAGTGCCATGGACGACGCCACCGACGCGCCGCGCACTGTTCGTACCGCCGACGGCTGGACCTTCAGCGCCGACATGAGCGACGAGGCCATGGCGGAGATCCGCGGCCTCATCGCGGCCAACGGCCTCGCGCACGATGGTGCCGCGCCGCCGGAGAGCGCCGCGGACCGCGCCGCGGCCGCGGACGCGGCCTTCGCGCGCATGATGGCCGCGCATCCGACGGCGACGGTCGTCGGCGGCGCGCGGCCGGCGGCGGCGGATCGCATCGACGTGCCCGAGCGCACGCCCGAGGAGGAGGCGGAGGGCGCGGCGGCCTTCGAGCGCATGGTCGCGGCGCACGGCGGCGCGGGCGAGATGCGCGAGATCATGCCGGGCGTCTTCGCGTCCGCGCCCGACGCGCCCGACGCGTCCGGCGAGTAGGGTACTCGTAAGGGCCCGAGTGACTTGGTGTTCAGGTAGACAGACATGTGCTAGGGGGGTAGCGCCACGGGGTAAAGACGGGAAAGAGGGCAGGGTACGGGGAGGGGTGTGCCAATTGAAAGCTTTGAATTCGGCTTGTGTGTTTGGAGGTGAAATTGGAGGCGGCCGGTTAGCCGAAGTCGACGGCGTAGACGACGCCGGCGGCCTTGCACTCGTGCCAGAGGCCGACGGCGACGCGCGCCGCGCGCGGGTGCAGCGCGAGCGACACGGACGCGGCGACCTCGAAGGCGCACGTCCGCTGGTTCCACCGCCGCTCCTCGCCGCCGGCGCGCGACCGGATGACCCGGGCGCTGTCGACGGGCGCCAGGCAGTCGCCGAGGCCCTCGAGGCGGACGAGGTAGGGGCTCTCGTCGTCGGGGCGCAGCGCGAGCACGACGCCGGGCGCCCAGCCCGCGGCCACGCGGCACTCGACCTCGGCGCCGGCCGCGAAGCGGAGCGGCGGCTCGCCGCCCCAGGGCGGCGGCGGCGGCTTCGGCGGCAGGCCGTCGAGGACCGCGGCCTGGAGGCACACGCCCGTCTCCCAGTCCCACACGATGACGGCGGGCGGCGGCAGGCCCGCGCGCGGCGGCGAGCACGCCACCACCACCCCGCTCGCGCGCGTGTAGGCGATGTTCTCCTCGACGCCGCCGCGGCCGAACGCCGCGGCGACGGCGCTGGAGTTGGGCGCGGCGAGGAACCGCGACGCCGCGGCGAGGTCCGCCGCGCGGATGAGCGCGACCTCGATGCCGCGAGCCGACGGGTCTCCCCAGAGCATGAGGTACTCGCCGCAGGGCTTCTCCCGGGACAGGCCCGGCCGGGCGATGGGGTCGTCCTTGGGCCAGCGCACCGCGAACGCGGCCGGGACCGCGCCGTCCACCGCGCCGTCCGCCGCTATAGAAGCCGGGAGCGGGAGCGACGCCGCGACCTTGGCGCCGGCGGCCGTCGTCACGTGGAAGAGGAAGTGGCCGTCCGCCGCGCTGACCGCGCAGCGCGTGTGCCGGTCGAACTCGGGGTACCCCCCCAGGGCGGCTTCG